GAGGCAGGAGCAGCATGAGTTCCAGGTCAACCTGAGCTGCATAGTAAAACCCTGTCTCTAAACAACAAGAGCTGGCATAAAGCTTGGTGAAAGAGCACTTGCCTAGTACCCAGAGGCCCTGGGTTAAAATCCCAGCACCGAAAAAGAAAAAGAAAAATGTGGCAGGCTTGGAATTGAACTCTGGTCTTTCTGACCTTAAAAGGTTTTTGTGTGTGTGTTTTAAAGGTTGTGTTCCTGAGCTCTTGGATGTAAAACACAGTGGTTTTGGGGCTTTTCATCCATTGCAAATGGCTCTTCCTAACAGCTGGCCCTGGGAGGGAGGTGCAGAGAAAGGTCTGCTCCCACAGAGGTGCTGAGAAGTTACCCAGTGATGGGCTCAGAGAAGTGGGTGGGAGGTGGTCATGCAACTGGAGAGCTGGGCAGGCAGGAGAAGCCTGTGTCCACACATGTGTGTGCATGTGTATATGTGGCTATGTCTACATGTGAGTATGTGTGCATGCATGTGTGCGTATTCATGTGTGTATGTGTATTTCTCCCGTGTGTGCACACGTGTGTATTCACATGTGCATGTGTATGTGTGAATATGTCTACATGTGCACGTGTGTATGTAGCAAGGCAGGGGATCTCTGAGAATTGGGAAGAGCCAGCAGTTGCTCAGGGCTTGCTGTGTGTCACTGAATGCTTTCTATCCTTCTCTGGACGTCCACTCCACAGGCTGGGAAATGGAAGCTTTCTCAGAACCGGTTACCAGCAGAGTGACGTGCAGAGCAATATCACCTGAGAGTTGAGGAAGAATCACATGACTCACGACAGCTCAGAGCTCGCCCCGTCCCCACCCAGGAGAAGTTGGCTGAACAACCCTTCTGGGCCTCACACCTCGGGGCTGGGCAGACACCAGCCTCAGAGCTGGGGTCTCCTCACTCCTCACCCTGAGGGCCCCTGCTGCTCTTAACCCTTTCCAGCCTAGATGAGCACTGGCTGAACTCCAGCATCCTCTTACCTCCTCAGCTCAGTTCCCAGACTGGCTTCTCACGTCTGCATTTCCTTGACCTCCCTCCCTCCCCAAACCTCCAGAACTCCCAGAGCTCCAGAAGCTCATTGTCCTGCTCCTCCCAGCCTGGTCTGCAGGCAGGAGAGTGGACCTCACCTGTACCTGAACACACACCTCGTCCTGCAAATCCTGTGTCTAATAAAACTTTTGCTTGGAGTCCTTGGAGTGTCACAGCGTCTGACACCAGATCGATGCTGGACTCTTCTGTCTTGCTGAATTTGACTTTGCATTTGACTCTTTACTCCCACCTTTAGGACGTGCTCATTTCCTAAGAATCCTTCCTTATAACTAAGGAGTTCTTAGAAAGCATCCTATCTCATTGAAAATGGGGTCTCCAGTGTTCAGGCTTCTGGGGATGAGATGTGGCTACCCTGATCACCATGGAGATCATGCCACTGAACCCGTGTTGAGCACTGACTGAGTCAGGGAGGAAGGCGGCTTTCCCTAAGCCATGTGGCCCATCCACACCCTAAGGGAAGTCCACACTTGAGACTTACAGAGGACCCTTCATGTCACACAAAGCACCTTTGAAGATCCCTTTTGGCTTGGGAGCCTCTTCCTTGAACCTGTTTAGCCATCTAAGGGCCAGGAAGGTGGAGGAAATCATTTAGCTTGAACTGGAGTTTCAGAAATCCATGATCACTAATAAAAACCAATCCCAGATAGATTCCAAAGGGTTTGTGAGTTAAGACCCATCTATACCAGGTCAGCCAATCCTGGACTGGGTTACTGGAGACCCGGCCTCAGGCTCTGTCTTCTAGGCAGTGGAGCTTTGCTGTGGGATAGTGTGGGGTGAGGATCAACCCCTCCACACACAAACTGGCAGGCGTTGCTGATTCATCACAGAGCTCTTCCCAGCCAGTCTGGATGTGACCCTCAGCTCCTGTAACACAGAACTCCAGGAATCCAGACCTGACAATTGAGCCAGGCATCCAAGGAAAGCTTCCTTCTCCACCTTGACTCTACAGAGTGCTCCCAGGGGTGTAGACAGAGTCTCTTGCATGACCTGAACGACCTCATGTCTCTCTCAAGCATGCCTACGTCAAGACTTAGACTTCAAAATCCTATTTAAAACAACAAAAACAAAAACATCCTTTCCACTCCAGGAAAGAAAAACCCATTTTTCCACCATGTTCAAAAATATACCCAAGGCCTATGCTTTGGATTGGCTGGCAGCCACCTGGTAATGGTGATTGGCCAGGAAGCCTGGTGCGTTTTCCCTTTGGACCTATCAAGCTGCGTGTTACTACCCCCACCTCCAGATCCAAGGACCTAAGCCTCATTACAGCCTCCACCACTCAGGAGGGGAGGCCTGGGGTAGCAGCATCCAGCTCAGAGGAAGCGTCTCTTCTGGGGTTCCCCCATGACACATGTGTCTTCCTGCATGGTGACCTCAACCTCTTCTTTCTCTTCTCTCCTCCCCTTTCTCCTGCTCCTCCTTTCCTCCTTCTTCATCCCCCCTTTCCTTTTCCATCCTTCCCTTCCCCTCTTTCTCACCTCTTCCTCTGAGGCTCAGAGAGGTGAAGGGACTGGCCCAGGTCACACAGCTTAACAAGTCTGATAACAAAACCCACTATGCTGTGGGTTACTTGCTCCAGACCCATTTCTATATGTTGCTAATTGAAAGGTCCCTGTTTATGACTTATGTGAGTGAGCATCAGAATTTTCTGGATGCTCCAAAAAACCCAGATGCTGGGTGCTTCCCAGAAGTTCTGAAGGAGCAGGGGGCAGACGGCCTGAGGGTTTGCATTTTTACCAATTCCCACAGGTGAGGGGGCTGTTGTGCACCTGGAAACCACACGTTGGGCACCAGTGGTGACGTCAATAACTAACCTTTCAATGGCAGTGTGCAGGATTTCCTCTGCTTTGACTAGGAGTCTTCAATCAGAGCTTCTCTGCTACTAACTGCTGACCTTGGGTTAGTCCCATGTCTTCTCTGGGTCCAGTGTTCCCATCTGGACAAGTAAGGGTTTGAATGAGATATGTAGACCCCTAGACACACTTAGTAGAGGTGGGAGGAGAAGGATTTGGAGTCTGAGAGGCTGGGTCTGGCTTCTGACTCTAGGGAGCTGTGTGACTTAAAAACATTTTTTAATAATCAGATTGTTGTACAGGGGTGCATTGTGACATTTACAGAAGTGCTTATGATGTATCGTAGTTGAATTTGCCCCCTGGCTGTGGGACTTTGAGCAAATGATTTAACTTCTCTGTGCTTCCTTATTGTCTACAGTGGAAGAGTTAGCACAGATGATTTTCAAATGTAAGTCTTGCTGAGTGAAAGGCTGGGGGTGGTGGAAGAGAGGAAGGTTGAGGTCTCAGGCTGCTTGGATGATGCTGTGCCCCTCAAATGGGCCATGTGGGGGGACTTGGGGAAGTGATTAATGCCGTCATCTCAGGAGTGGGTGAGTTATCCAGGAAGGGGAGTCTGCTGAAAGGCTAAGTTTGGCCCCTTCCTCTCTGGGTCTCGTGCAGCTGCTGGCCTTCTGTTTTCCACCATGGGACGAACATAGCGTGAAGCTCTCACCAGGTGCAGCTCCTTGACATTGGACTTCCCAAGCCTCCAGAAACACAAGCCAAATAAACTTCTGTTGCTTATAAATTACTCAGTCTTGGGCGTTCTGTTGTAGCAGTGGAAAACACTCTAAGCTGGATGATGAATGACGTTCTCCCAAAGGCCCAAGACTCTGAGGCCCAGAAGAGGGCTGGCATCTATCCTCTCTTCCTCCTTTTCCCTCCCCTCTTTCTTCCCTCTCCTACCCTTCCTCTCCCTTCCCCTCTTCTTTTCTATTTATAAATGCTGTTTCAGGCAGTCTTGACTTTGGAATCAGACAGACCTGGGTCCCACCATGACTGCCATGGTGGTGTGGCCTCAGTATTCACATCTGTAAAGTGGGCGGGCCACACTGCTGGCGTCGTTCCCAGTTCAAATACCTTTCTCCATGGAAGCGTGGCATGGGTCGTGCACAGAGAGAGCCCAGTTGCTATTTCTCTGGTCTGTTGGCTAAGGGCCGGCTCTAGAGCTGGACAGCCCAGTTGGAACTGCAGCTCTGCCTTGTACCAGCTGGGAATGCCGGCCAGAGACGTAACTTTCTGAGCCCTGATTTCCTTATGGGAGAAAGGGGGGAGGTAGGAATATCTATGTCCTGGGGCTGCTAGAGGGTTAACAGAGTACCCTGCATTCTGTCTGGCTCTTGGGTAATTAGATGGGTCCACTGGTGATGGTGACACACAGCTGAGGGACCAGGCACCCTACTTGGTTCTGGGGACAAGGCAGGTAACAAAATATTCCCCAGGGAGCTCCCAGTGCAAGCAAGAGAGACACCAAACAGGCAGGACAAGGTGGCATCAGCGCCCCTGTGATGGGTGAAGTCCAAGGACCCAGGGGAGCCCAGAGCAGCACCCCCAGGGGTCAAGGAAGACTTTCTGGGCAAGGAGGTGATCTCCAACCAAGCTGAGCACTGATGAGGGAGCAGGAGGGCATCGGGCCTCAAGCAGGGGCCGGAACAGCATTCAGGAGGCAGGAACAGAAGACACAAAGGCCTAGAGTGAGAGAACCCCCAGTCTCCTGGTAGGCCAAGCTCTGCACCTCCTGGCCTGGACAGACACACTTTCCTAGCAGCCTGGCCGCATGTGCTCCTGGTTTGCGCTCAGACAGCGGACGCCACTCCAGCAGCTCTAGGCAGCCGAGGGGCGGGTCATCCCCGGCTGGCTACACTGCCACAGAGCCCTACCCTGGCTGGCAGAAGGGCTGGCAGCACCAGCCTCCCTCGGCAGCCCCCACTCCGTGCAACTGGCGCCCCCGCCCTCAGCAGCCCTGCTTCCTGCTCTGCCCCTCCCTCTTCTCCTCCCTCCAGCTGTTTCTCTGGCTGAGTTCTGTCCCTGTCCCATTCAGGGTAGCAGCCCTGGTAAGCTCAGGACAGTCTCCCGGCAGAGTGGGGCTCCTGCCAAGCCTCCCTTGGGGAGCTGCAGGGGGCTGCGCTCTGGGGGATGCCGAGGAGAGGAGATCTTGAATGAATTGAGCCAATTGCTTTGGCAAACAGCCACTGTCACAGGAACCGTGTCACTGGGAGGAAAAGAAGCGGGTTTCAAGTTCCCTGAACTGCTCTGAGAGGAGTGGTCCGAGGCCACAGGAACCCTGGGAAGACCTGTGAGAAGGTATTGCACTTGGCTTTGATGCCTCCCTAGAGGGGCCTGGGATGGGGAGCACAGCAGAGAGAAACATCAGGTTCTTATGATTTAGCATTTACCAAGCAGAAAAGGGTTTCATTGTTATTTTCAGATTTCAAAAGTAATGCATATTATTTGTAAAAAAAACAGCAACGATGTGTATCTCAGTACACACACACACACACACACACACACACACACACACACACACACACACACAGAGTTTCCCCATCTACTTTGGAAATCTATTTGGTCCTTGATCACAGATTTTGAACTTCTTTCCGGTCACCTATATTCCTCCGATACACATTCAGTGGGAATGATGGTGTGGAATTTATTTATTTGTTGTATTTGCTTCTGTTTCCTTCTCTTTATTATAAATGGTGCTTTAAGGACGCTTCATCTAGCAGTCATCTTTGTGTATTTGTTCTGCCGACTTTTAAGACATTCGAGCCTTTGTCCCCAGCGGGTTGTGCCTGGCATTATATTGGGTGAACTCTTCTCCAGCCTCACCCGCATCGATGCTATTCATCCTTCAAACTTTTCCGGTGAGATGTCGGGGCTGTTATCTGGGTGCTTCACTTTGCATTTCTTCATTAATGCTGATTATCTGTAGTCAGTTTATGGTCGTTTTTCTTCTGGGATATCCTGGCTAAGTCTGTTCCCATTCCCCACCCCTGACAATAAGAGTTCTTTGCACATGAAACGCAGGCTGGAGCCCTCTTGAAAATCTCCCACCCCGCCCGCCAGCATTCTCCCAGCTTTCCAGGGAGTGCAGGTTAAATGAGGGGACACCAACACAAATAAACACAGGACAATCAAGTCACTGCTACTTGATGATGTCTGATGGCGCGCGTGTCTCAGAGGCCAGATCACGGGTCTGAGGTCCCACAGTGAGGAAGTAGCTGCAGAGGTCTGGGCCTGTCCTCTCTTTCTCTTAGGAAGGCCTCAACTTCCCTTTTGTGCCCACTACCTCCTTTCCCAGACAGATCTTCTGTGCAGTTCTGATGTCTCCCAGAAGAGGCTCCTCTCTCAGGCTACCTACATCATCCAGGCCCCCTTGCCGGAAAGGGGTGGCTCTGGATTCTCTCCTGAAAGAAGGTTGGACTTGAACTTGTGACACTCGAACAATGAGTCAGGCACATTTCTGGCAGCCCAGAGAATGTCTCTGGACTCCGCCAATACTTTAAGACATAAACTTGACTCTGGGCTCCTTTCTGGCTCTTCCCAGAAGCCCCTGCTCCACTAGGTCAAGGTCTGTCTGCTAGTTCCTCTCAGCGTCTGTGCTCCCTCACCACCGCTCCTACACTCTTTTGTACTGGTCATCTGGTCTGTCTATCCTGCTAGCTGGGCCTCCTTGAGGCCAGACCTGGGTGTTACTGTCCTTGGGTCCTTAGTCCAGAGGTTAGGGTAGGTTCTTAGAATAGTGTGCATTGGAAAGAATAGCCAGGCCTCAGTTTCACCATCTACTAAGTAGGCTGGACTGAAGTTCTGTCTTAGAGGTCTACCTGTGAATGTCTCTCCCTTTGCAAATGCTTTACTGAGGTGATTTCCTTTAATCTTCGCCATGGCTGTAAGATTAAGTTACTAGCAATACGTCTGCTTTACAGGTTAGAAAACCCAGGCCTGGAAAGAGTCCTAGAGATACCACAGGGCATCATGGTTACAGGGTCAGTTGGTGCTGGCTTGCCGCCTGATGACTAGGTGCGTTCTTTATTTTTGTGCCTCAGTTTCCTCATCTATAAAATGGAACTGAATAGCAACTACCACGTAGGAGTACTATAAGGATTAAGTGGGAGAGGTTGTCATGTCATAAGAGAGCTATAAACATGAGTTATTATTCTCACGGTCATTTCTATACCACCACACTATCCACAGCTGTGACATCCATCTGTGTCAAACAGGAATTAATAAAGATTTCCTCATAGTGCGTTATTAACACTCAGATTCCCATTGACGTTCCAGAAAACCAAAGGCCCACTGCCTTCCCTTCGAGTTACGCTGTGCGGTGCGGTCATTGCTGTCAATTGCAAGGCTATAAAGTAGACTCAGAAATTCTCACGGTGTAATTAATTCCCAGACCACCTGGATCAGAATAATCGTGGATGTTTTTTAAAGCTTCAGTGTTTGAGTGGCTGGGGGTGTAGCTCTGTAGAGCACTTGCTTAGCATATGCAAAGCCTTGGGTTTCATTCCCAGCAACCCCCTCCCTCCCCCCACACACACTCACACACACTCAAAAAGCAGGTGGGTTATGCTACCTTATACCTGTAATTCCAGCTACTTAAGAGGCAGAGATCTGGAGGATCAAGGTTCAAGGCCAGTCTGAGCAAAAAGATAGTGAGAGCCCATCTCAATCAATAAGCCAGGAGTGGTAGAGTGTGCCTGATCTCAGCTACCCAAGAGGCTGTCAGTAGGAGGATCATTGCCTGAGGCCAGCTCCGGACAAAACTGAAAAATAGCCTGAAAAATAGCTAAAGCAAAAAGAGCTGATGGTGTGGCTCAAGTGGTGGAGCTCCTGCCTAGCCAGTGTGAGGGCCTGAGCTCAACTCCCAGTACAGCCAGAAAAAAGATTAGACTCTCTGAGGGTGAGGTTTGGATGTGCACGTTGAGCCAGCTCTCCAGGAAATTCAATGCCCCTCAAAACTTGAGCACCACCGATCTAGAGCTAAAGAGTTTTGTCTTTTTTTTTTTTTTAACAGTACTGTGGTTTGAACTCAAGGCCTTGTGCGTGCTACACAGGCACTCTACCAGTTGAATCATGACCCCAGCACTTTGTCCTATAGTTTGTTTTTCAGATAGGGTTTTGTGCTTTTGCCTGGGGGCCATTCTCAGACTGTGATCCTTCTGTTTACGAATAGCTGAGATTACAGGCATGAACCACCATGCCCAGCCCCTCCAGTTTTGCTCTTTGTTCAGGCGTCTAGGTTCTTTGATGAGGTTTCTTTTTCCTTTCTAAGCAGATATCTGTGCACTTCTGTGACACCACATGTTCTGTGTCAGCAGTTGAGGCCAAGGGATTTGTTGGAGAAGTGAAACTTTGTCTTACAGTACCACTAAAAGTCAAATCATGTTAGTTACTCCAGTGTGGGGGCTTTGAAATTATTTAAAGTCACAGAATCCTTTTGTCAAATGAAAGCAGACAGGAAGAGCAATTTCAAAGTAGATAAAAATGGAGTTTTTCTGGTTGAGAGAGAAGTGGAGGTCTCCAGGCTACAGCTCACTACACCTCCCTTTTGGTGCTGAAGGACTTCTAGAAATTCTGAGCGCTCTGTGGGGTGGGTGCAAACTGCAAACCTACTCCAGGAGTTAAGAGGTCTGACTTCTAAACTTTTGTTGAACCTTTCCCAGCACTGGGGTTTGAACTCGGGGCCTTGTGCTTGCTAGGCAGGCATTCCACCATACCTCAGCCCTTTTACTTTAGCTTATTTTTCAGGTAGGGTCTCACATTTTTACCCAGGGTCAGCATTGAACTGTGATCCTTCTATCTCCACCTCCCATGGAGCTGGAATGAGAGGCTTGCACCACCGTGCCTGTTTGTTGGACTTGTGTGATCTTTGGCAAGGTTTTCCCACTTTCTGGCCACAATTGTACCCACCCTGTTAATAAGGATGGTTGAATGTTGTTTCAGCTAGCATTAGCTGCAGTAACAAATAGCCCCAAGCATGTATAATGGCTCAAAGAAGACACACATTTATTGTAAGTCAGGTTTTTATTTATTTATTTTTCTTCTGAGATGGGATCTCACTATGTTGTCCAGACTGGTCTCAAGTGACTCTCCTGCCTCGGCCTCCTGTGAGGTCACAGGTACAGGCCACCACACCGGCTTAAGGAGGGTATTTCTGTTCCTTGTGATAGTTTAGTGACCGATCTTGGTTCCCCACTGTCTCCTTGGACATCAGCATTGTTGGCAACTAACTGACAGGTGAAAGGAGTGTCTACGTGCCATGTTTGAATCTGGAAGTGTCACCTCTGGTAGTCTTGTGGCCAGTCTGGCCCCAAAAGAGGATGGGATATGGAGTTGTAGCGACAGCAGCGCTTACTCAGCTGTAGCCCTGTCTGTGTGAAGGGAAAAGGATCTTTGGGGGTCCGTCAGTGGTAGAGAGTGCCTGTGTAGCCAGCACAAGGCCCCGTCCCACCCACAAATACGACCCTTTGGCTCTTTTTCTATTCTTTATTTAGTTAGAATGATGACCTCAGGCTCTCCAGGTGCTCTCCTATTTGCAAGGTGACGTGCTGAGTGAACGCCCCAAAGCGAGGCCCCTGAACACGGAGCTCTGGGGAGCAGAAGCAATGACCACTCCCTTTTTCTCTTGGGAAAAGAACAACAGTTTCCTGAGTGTGTTACATTGACAGAGTATTCGACGATTTCCAGATCCACCTCACTAACTCCTCCTGCAGATATATGCGGCCAGAATTGTCATCACCCCTTATAGGTGAGGAAATGAGGCTCAGAGAGGCAAACGGACTGGAACCAGGTCACACAGCTCCTAAGCAAAAGAACTGGGATTTGAACTCTGAAAAACCTACTTCTGTCTTAGGGTCCCATTGCACATTGGTATGTTCTTGGGATTGCATTCGTGTGTGTGGTTAGGGTGGGGATTTTCCTTAAGCTGGACTTCCCCTGGGCTGAGCATAAAGGAAGCAGAGGCTTCAAGTTATTTTCTAGGTCCTCAAATGGGCTGAGGTTGCTGGCTAAAAGGCAGCTGGGTGGTGGTCCTGGCTTGGCAAAGCCCAATGTGACTGAGTATTACAGAATCTGGCTATGAAAAGGGGAAGGCCCAGGACATGAGGGTGTCTTGAGGTCATGGGTGACATTCAGGCCTTGACTGGGTTGGACCCAGAGTAGGTGCTTCTAGCAACTTCCTATAACCAAACCCTGGTGAAGTGAAAGCTCAGCGGTGTAGGAAGCATTTCTGTCCCTGAGGCTCACAAGGGAGGGGAGAACAACCTGTGTCAAATACTCACTCAACAAACGCTCAGGTACTC